ATCGAGTAATTATTTGAAGAAGTTTTAATTTTTAAACGTTCGTATTTTTGAAAATTTACGTTTGCAATTTCCGTAATTTCGAACCGCACTATTTAACTTCTTTCCGTTAATTATAAAGTGGGGTTTTGTTTCGTTTCCCGGAATTGTATTTTCCGTTCATTATTTGCCATTAATTGCCACTGGAACAAATTTTGCGATGATGATACATACAATCTTCTATGAACAAAACAACTATACAATTGTCTCACAGCCTTTGGCAGTGAATTTGCTTTCCTTGTGCATCTCTTAGCGTAGCTATGAGAAAAATTCTCTTCAGGTTAACCTGTATGTTCAGAGATGGCTTTGGAGCTCTTTGGAATAGTTCGAAATGATAACTACATAATCCTATATATTCAATAAGGTGTTCACTTCGTTCCATTACATGCAATAGCGTAAGACTCTGGCGACTGCTTATTTTATCTCGATTTTACATTGAACGCTAGTTATTATTTATTTATTTTATTTTGCCTTTATTTTTGAGTGGGCGGGGTTTCAGCCAAGGCTGCTCTACCAACCCAACCCACTATACATTTACAAATATCCATGCCCGAACCCGGATTCGAACCAGGGACCCTTAGTCCCACAGTTCAGCTTTAACTGAACTGCGCCACACGAGCCGGCACCAAGTCGTGTTGATTCTACTGTTAATTGGGGAGTAATGTGTAACAGCTACCACATATTCCACAGTAGTATATTATAAGAATTAGCCGTTTAAAAATCTAGTACTTCGTGCTTCGGAATTATAAAAAAAATAATACCAGGTTTTTTGACAGTTGGACAGTTGTAGAAAAGTACTTTTTCTACAACTGTCAAAGGGCGCAGTAAACGCGGGAAAATGTTTCGATTTAAGGATTAAAAACATACAACTGTTGATGAATTTCCACTGCATTGAGAAACCGAAGCGCACTGATCTAGTTTCACAATCGGCGAGATTTACAATTACTTTCGCCATTATAAACAATCACTGTGGTACAAAAACAACAAATAACTAGATAGATCAAGAGATGCCACTTACATTTTTTTTCTTGTTTACAAAATTGCTACGTTTACTATGGACATTAAAAATCAACCCCTATTTCATACCCTTTCTAACTCTCCTATTTAAATTTCGATGAATAAAAAAATCCACATTTTTTTACACAGAGAATACACACATTATGACTAATAAAGATGAACCCATTTACAGGGAAATTTTCATTGAACTAATGACAAACTTGAAATGAAAAAGAACACCAGCTTTAATCACCCAATTGATTGATATCTTTATAAAAGGAATGTTTTTAATTAATACTGTCAAATACAATATTTCTTCTTCGCAATTTTCTTAAACAGAATCAATTACTTTTTATAAAAGTACCTCAGAGTACCTCACATAAAGTTTTCTGGAAAATACAATACAAACCCGGATATGGCTCTTCTTGTAGAGATGGTACCTTCGAAATTGACCAATGGATAACGAAAGATCGGTTTTCGTCGACGTTTTCAAGATTCTCTTGGAGGTAATTCCGCGGTTATTGAACTGTCTGCGTTTATTGTCTGGCGTCAAATAGCTCAATTGCATTTAAAATGTTCCGGGCACTTATTTTTAACGTCTGAAAGCGGCTTTTAATTGATCAATTGCTTAAGGCGGGTTCTTATTAGCCTATTTTATTGATCAATTTCATTGAATATACAGAGTGGCCCAACGAGAAGTATACAGAGGGCTTTTATGGTATTAAATTTAGAAATTTCGAAAAATCCTCGAACACGTCAATTTTGTATTCGAGGGGGACAACTTTTGGAATACAAATCACGAACCCAAGTCTTCACCCCTCTACGTAGGGAGCTTAACCCCTAAAATTTTAAATGGAATCCTATGGCATATGGCACATTATTTGAAAGCCAATTTAATCGTGATTACTTTGCTTTGCTTTTTTAATTCTATTGATTAGTTTCGGAGATATTTGCATTTGAAATGGTTTTTTCCCCCTGATTTAAGTCATTTACTTACAAGTTACTTTACTTCTTGTGGGGATATTTAAAGAATAAAGTTTATGCTACTCCGCCCGGAACATTACAAGGGTTGTGAGCACGTATAACCATACTGTAAGAATAAAATACACTATGGTATAACTCAACAATTTTGAGCGATTACCCCTGAAATCTTGCAACATGTACGGCAGCGTTTTGAAATAAATCTTTATTATTGCATGGAAGCAGGCGGAAGGCAATTCGAGCATTTATTGAAATAAATGTTGTGGGTTTCAAGTTATGTTATTTTGTGCACAATTTAAAAATTTTAATACAAGGTGACTTAGATCGCATTTGTTTTGGTTTTTTTAGAAAAAACCATTTCAAATGCGAATATCTCCTAAACGAATCAATAGAATTTAAAAAGCAAAGCAGATTAGTAATCACGATTAAACTGGCTTTCAAATAATGTGCAATTTGCCATAGGATTCCATTTAAAATTTTAGGGGATAAACTCCCAATGTAGAGGGGTGAAGACTTGGGTTCGTGATTTGTATTCCAAAAGTTGTCCCCCTCGAATACAAAATTGACGTGTTCGAGGATTTTTCGAAATTTCTAAATTTAATACCCTAAAAGCCCTCTGTATACTTCTCGTTAAGCCACTCTGTATGCCATTGAACATGGAAATTGAACGGGAAATTTGTTCATATGATTTAAGAATTGGCTATTTTGTCTAGGATCTGCCAGTTTAAAAAATGGCTGCAAATCGAAAAATTGTGCATGAAAATGCTTATGTTTTGTATGGGTATGAAGTTAGCAGTTTTCGTTCAAACAGAAAAGACAGCGGTGTCGCATCAAGTGATGATTGGGACGTACTCGACCGTAATCGGTAGATTGAGGAAATGTCGCGGATACTGTCGATACGGTACTTACTTGACAGTGCGCAAGGGTTTTGTTAATTCGAATCTAACATTCTCGCACATCTCCCGAGATAGTATTACATGCATGTTACGACGCGTACTATTCAGAAAGTGTACGTTTGCGACACGAGCGAACTTGCCTGCGAGTGGAGAGAGTGATTGGGGGTGAATAAAGGTTATTTGTGTTTTACATATGGCTTTATAGGTTATACGGTTATCATTTCCAATATCTCCTATGGTTGCATGGACTTGGACTATTCACTAACGATCAGGTAGCCCAAGCCCGAATGCCCTAAAAACTCTCTAGATTAATCCCTACTTATCGTGTTTTTTTACAAAAGCGTCCGAAGTCCATTTATCAGAAGCTCATGTCCCTTTAATTTTTCAAATCTTAATTAACCCTCAAATCGGCACATCTAATACCCAGTATCTAAACAAATGAGAAATTGAAAAAAATCTAAGAGACCCCCCCGTTACATGCTGCATCTCCGACATTGCGATACGATTTGAAGGTAAACGCCCAGAACAATTAACAATATCGATTAATTAATAAGTGATTACAGTTGCTACTGTATTTTTATTTTACTACACGACGAAGACAAATTCCCTAGCTAGAACACAATTGCATGCCCCAGATTATCCCTACAGCAACCGATGTAAGTATTAAATTAAAGAAATGAAGTGCGCACGGTTTCACTATTTGTGCCGTTATTGCCTCTAACAGGCGATCATCAATTGCAAGACTGTTGCATTCGTGTTTAGCAGCTCTTTCTCACAATGTAAAGGAGTCTATCAAAAGTTTTATCCATAAAAAATGTTATTAATCACCGTTTGCAATTCATGCACTTCCGTCAATAAAGAACCACACGCGAAAGATGCCGCTCACTTTTGCATAAAAAGAAAATTTTTCATTTCGCCTATCTCGGATAATGTACGAAATTATTTTACGCCTCATTAGCGCATCATATCATAAATTTTCTGAGTAAAAGTGCGCTTCAGTTTGAAATTTTTACATCAAGTTAGGCCAGTGGTATTATTGACGAGTACTGTTTGGGTGCACAAAATCCCCACGATTAGTAATGTACAAAATTCCTTAACTACCACAATAGTTAATCACTCTAAAGGGTCTTTATAAAGTTTTTACCCTTAAAATATGTGAAATATCCTTTTACTGTACGTGTAGTACACAATTTATGTGCAGTTTCAAATACTTATCCAAGGTAGGCAATTTGTTCACAAAAGTTTACAAGGGATGCCCTCACCTAGGAAAATATTATAAATAGGTGGGCAAATCTGTTCGAAGGGAGTCGATTTCGAAGTTATCAACTGCATGACGTTTAAAGTAATGGTAATTACTAAGCCGTTGACTTAATAAGTGACCCTTTTTCAATTAATACAGTTTCCTCTTTTACATTATCACGGAACCGAGGGTTGTGGGTCGTAAGCTTCACAATAAAATAATTCAGCATCATAACGACTACCTAAGTCGTTTCATTTCAATTTGTATTGTTTCAAGGGTTCATGTTAATTAATACCATCTTCCGTTTTGATTACATTTACATTTTGTACATTCGTTTTTCAGGCGATAATTAGGAATGACCCCATTAAGGCTCAAATACGCGGTTGCCTAGTACTTTTTGTTTACACTATTTTGACTATCCATTATATTGGTAATGGATAATGTCTGATACAATGGAATTTTTGTTCGATTTTTCAACCCTCGCTTCGCGTGATTTTCCACAAAACTGTAAAATAATTAAAAATGAACCGAGACTCAACTGTGTTGCACCGTTACTTTTCCTCGCTGTTCTGAACAAATACTCGACTACACGAGGAACAAGAGAGAAAATAATACGATCTGAAAGAGGTACAAAAACCCATATCAAGATTTTCCGATAAAATATTTACCTAAAGTAAGCAGATCGTGTTTGAAACTCTAACAACAGAGAAAAGCGAGAAAAGCTCTCCTTGGTGCTTTCTTTGTAAAGACAACTGTCAAGGAATCTCGTAGGTAATATTTTTAATAAAGAAAATGATACGAACTGCTTCAATATTTCGGTATAAAATTGTGTCGCGCAAAATGTTACCTACCTGCAATTTGGCCCATTGAATACGTCCAATGCACCTAACCGAGTTTCTCCATGCAAGCTTCGCGCCGTAAATAAGCTCAGTTTCGGTAAGCTGATACGTTCCGGTTGCCTCGATTTCTTTTTGTACTTGATCAAATCGCGAAGTATGAGCCGGCGTGTTCGCTCTGAAATACAAATATCCATTATTTTTTCCGTTGCTTGTGCATGAATGCATTTAAATTAATAACTTAAGATATGACAATCAATCACAAGCGCAGTATTAGTGTAAGACGTTGATAAAGGCTTGAAATACATCGATCAATCAAATTTGTAAGCAACGAAAGATGGAAAATTATCACTGAGGAAAGCTTCGTGCAATCATACATAGTGTTATTAAAAATATATGCGCTTTTTTGTATAAGTTCGGCCGATAAAAAGACAACGTTCATTTATCACATGATCTGACAAGTTCAACAATTTCAATATTGTGTAATATCCAAACTTCTTTTTTGTAAACTTGCTTACAAAATGACGGAATGCGACAACTACCAACAAAACGGCATACATTAATTATCATTGTAACACTACTTGTAGTCAGTATAAGAGAACTTTTATGTTAAACGTTACTTTTTATTTAAAATAAGACTAATAGGTAAACAAATACATGTAACTGTAAATTCGTGAAATTCCCTGCGATAAGAAAGGTTAAAACTGAACATATTACTTGGTAAAAGTTCGCATTCCTAAGTAAGTATGTAACTGATTAGATCCTATATCTAAAAAGCATTCTTGTGACTAGTACAAGTTGAGAACTGTTCCGAGGGAAACATATCTTGATTCCGCACACGGAGGCTCAATGGAGGAAGATCCAAGAGAGCCTGCATTACGACTGTACAAGTGATCTGCACAGGGTGTACAAGATGCAAGACACGCGAATCTTTGTAAGTGGTCCAACTTGTGGTAAAAGTCTCGTTCTTGACCCATACAAGTGCTCCATAATTAACTGCGGCCCACAGCCGGATTATCGCGAGACGTCGTTGCCAGAAGATCCTGTATCGCTTTGAGCTTAAACGTTTCCTCAGTTCAAATGAGTACTTTGATGCTTTATAACAAAAAAACTGAACGCGTTTTAGAAAGAAAGTTGGTGCTCTAAGACACAACCTGCCTGTTGTAGTGCAAAAGGCAACCCACGTTTTTGTCAGATTCATCTAAAGGGAGTAGTGTTGAGCTAAGTTATTTATTGAATCATGTTTGAGGTTCGCAAAAAGGAACATTTTAAACTATCAGCGACAAGCTTTTCATTTTTACTTAATTATTAATGCAGTACAAAAACTTGATGGTACCAACTGGAACGGCACGGTTGTTATAATTTATATTGTTGTGTAAACGTCATGTAGATGTTATTTCGGTCTAAACGCCACAAACAATAACGGGACACGCTGTATATGAGAATATTTCAATTTATTAAGTAAATCAAGAGGATTACTTCCGATAATCACAAAATTGGTTTATATTAGTTGAATTTGTGGTCTCAGGCTTTACTTCTTCTTTTAGAATCGTTTGTAATTGCGAAATTTTATCGCTTTTGTAAATAATTATTTATTTAGATGCGTGTATTTCATTGTAAAACGTGAAAATGCGTATTAAAATGTGAGACACATCTGGTCGTTTGCGATGACTCTTATCAGGCGAAACGCACATCTGGTGCTGATAACTAACGCGAAATTTCGGTGTAAATGGGGACGCGTTCCTTCGAAGCTGGCGTTATCAAGTTTAATTGTGATTGGCGGTATTTTTGAAAATCCTGAAGATCGGAGATAATTTTATAGTGGAAGGGGTGTGGAATTATACTACTTTTATTATATTATGTTAATAGTAACTATTTATTTTTTTCCACACAATAATTTGCCAGATTTAAAAGTTAATTTTCTTGTTGATTTTATCTGGTAAAAAAATGTGAGAAGTTATTTAAAATGCAGAATGAGATGTCACTAACAGAATATACTTATTTATAAAAAATTGCATGTACAAAGAAAAGTGCATGTGGAAAATACTTGAAAATTGTATTAGTGTCAATATACATTTATGTGGCTATTTAGTGTTTTCTTTTGACCGATCAGTGGAAAAGAGTGAAAAATGTTATGGTTAATTTTTCAGAGAGTTAAGGGGAGAAGTCTGCAGTAAGCACAACTATATCAAAAAAGGCAAAATTTTTGAAAGATTTAGGCTAACCGACGGCAGATAACGATTCATTTAATTATTGACTAAAGATTACAGTTTTAGTTCAGAATTCAAAACTTTGTTAATCAAATGGAAGCTTCAACCTTTTATGCAGACCACTGCAGGACGAATTTAAAGAGTTCTTAGGCTTCTTAATTGGGACATTTTTCTTCCAAAACGTTCCCTTCAAAATTCGCGTTGGATTGTTAACCTTAAAAAAGTCCCCAGTAGATATACGTTAAATATGACAATAACCTAAGTTTTTTCAACGATTTATGATAATTGATTTAATGGGAAATTTTATGCTGAATTTGAATTGAAAAATTCCAGTTTTAAAGTCGAAATTCGGAAGCTTTTGTTTTGTTCTCATTGACGCTAATCAGAACTAGAGAATTTAGTCTGAAACTCGAACCCCGGTCTTCATATAACATTATAAATTATAGCTGGAAGTACGATTGACTAGATCTACATTTGACAGCAGATTCAGATTTGGATTTTAACCCTAAAATTTCTTACATTACAATATCACCACGCAAAGCCATAATTAAGTAGGGCGAACGTGTTGCCTAGAGAGGGTTGTCCACCGAAGCCCAAAGTTTAATCACTTTTTCCCTAAGTCATGTACCAAGTTTGAGCTGTATACCTATGTGATTACGTTTTTGAGTTTTCGTGCGGATGGCTGCCCGGCAGGACGTTCAAACTTCTAAATTGTCTAAATACTCGTACAGACATTTTTGGTACATATTACCATAGAGTAAACAACGTTTAGAGATACCGCGCTGTGTAAATTTTTGTCGGCTAGGAACTATCCTTGAATATAGATGGCCATTGAATGCATCAAGTGTCTCCCTCTTAATTCCAGAATAGTGTACTTATTTTCCGTCTAGGATTCAAACCTACGCAATTAAAAGCTCGCGAGTACCAAGCTTTTTATGATATAATTATGTAACTGTATACATGTCGTACGTCCCACGCATTGCATACCTATAAATTGCGCAGCCAGCAAAATGGTTTTTATTTTCATAACTTGCGTCTACATTGTGACTGGATATTATTATTTATAATATGTGCGCGCCAAGAATTAAAAAAAGGGTTATATTATTGAATGAAGACATGTTTAAATACCTATCTACATAATGGGGGGCCATAAATATTTATTAATTGAAGACATAAAACCCAGATATTTGCAATATTCGGCAAAATTGCCTTTAATCGGGGTATATTGACCTTTTGTTTTGCTTAATAACCTACTGTAGATTCCTATATTTTGATTTGATTACCAGAGAATTTAATTTGACCTCATCCGGCAATCTACGCTAAATCTTTTAAGTTGCATGGTTGCACAACACAATAAACAATAATTAAAACGCGATGTCTCTTTCGTATCGTGTTTCGTGATAATTGGGGGAATTTGTGGATATGGGTATCTAAGAAACTATCGACCTATTATATTTAATAGTTTCCGTTTTTCCCAAAATTTTGGAAACATGCATGGTTACGCGACTTGTTAGCTGCTTTGAGAAATTTTATCTTCTCTATCCATCGCTTCATTGCTTTATCAAAGGAAAATCTATGGTTAGCGGTCTATTCAACTCTATTGAGTCTATTTTGAATTTTGATATATCCAAGGATCAACCACCACCTACTAAACCTAATACGGAATTACCTACTGGAAATGTCCATCACTGGATCACATTGTAATTTAATATCTCGATCGAGTGACGTAAAAATCCAATGTGACATAAAAAAGTTTGTGATTTAGTCGAAACCCACAAGTCATGAAAATTTTAAGTTAGCACCATTAGAAAGCTGAGAAAAAATTACTAAGGGTTTTGTTAATGGTTATTTGTTCGTATCTTTGAAAATAAATGAACGCCACCGCATTTTCTAAACATTTTTCGGTTTTTGACCATAAGTTCGTTATTGTAAAGCTACAAGAAACTCCGAAAGGGAAAATTTATCAGCATAAAATTCTGCAATTCTGTGCGACTTTGTATCACACCACACAACACTATTCGAGGATTCCCCCAGGTGCATGGCGATCAAACTGTTCTACCATCTTCCACAAGAATTGCGGACGCCTACGTCGGCCAAAAAATTTAAAAGTCAAATCGGTGAATTTTTCACATTTTCACCAACAACTCATACCTCGACTCATACCATCACGTCAACGAATACCTCCAACCAAGGCCTGCGCGACTATGATTTATTGTAATATGGATATGATGTAAATGATCAGAAATTGGGGAAAAATAATTAAAACTGCTGAATTTTTCCGCGGGTGAAATCCCGGGGGTTGAAAGGGGTGGAAAGTGGTACTTGGCAATTTGTGGTAATAGGTACATATTAATTTCGGGCGAAAATGTTCAATGTAACAGTTATAGAGAATAAAATGAACAACTTTTCTATCTGCGCTATTTTCACATTACTTACCTCTAATTTTCCTAGAAAAACCGGAAAAACCTTTTTTCGTTTTTTGTTCTTACTTTTGCGAAAAAAAGTCGTAAAGGTTTGAAATTTGTAGGAAACGTAGCTACAAACAAGGAGACAATTTTTTTGGGACCGGAAAATTGAACCGTTTCCGAGATATCACGATTTCTGAAAAAAACACATCTTTTTCAAGGAGATGAAAAATCTATTTTTTTTCATCGCACAGAGGTGCGGGGGGTAGTAAAATTTTAGGGAAGACTTATATTTTAATAAACAAAAATAAAAATTATTATTCCTATAGAAAAACTTCTAGAAAATCGCCAAAAACTGGAAAAACAGATTTAAGATATACATGATTTTTGACATGATCAATGAACGTTTTGGATGTTAATAAAGATTTTTTCGAAATCTATCTTCTTGCTTATCTTTAATGTTTGCTAAAATATTGTCTTTTGTTTCCTTATGCTCAACGTTTTAGTTAAAACATCTTTATTATTTCTTTTTTCTGCATTTTTACCACAATAAAAGCAATTCG